TTTTATATATATATATATATATATATATATATATATATATATATATATATATATATATATATTATTATTATTGTATATATATATATATATATTATATCTATATATACACACACAAAATCCTAACGGATTAAACGCGTCGCAAAAAACTTTCTAGTTTGTAATATTTTTTTTACAAATTATATATATTTATGTTTAGACATTCTTTTTTATAGATACAAATATTTAAGTAAATGCTCTCTTTATAAAAAACAGTATTAGAATAATTGTCGGACTTTGTCCATTTCATAATATATATATGGGCGTGCGTGTATACACACACACATATACACACACTTCTTAGACATCATGTTACACCGAGATGACACCAACCTAAAACTTAGTGTCCGCCAAAAAATCAACCAATAAAAATAACCTAATAAACTTCTATTACCAACGTAACAAAATAAAATCCAGAATGATCATTGGATTTTATTTATGAGCACTCAAGATTTGCAACCCTCAATATTTACTCGAAGAGAGAAATATATTGAAAATATTTTCAAGATTCTTCAATACCCTATTTCATATTAAATGCGAAACAAAAGGCTTATAAAATATTCCAAAATAGAACTTTCCTGTCTGACAAACCTAACGAATTAAAAAATGTATTATTCTACCAACAAACTCACAACTACAACTGAAAAGAATTTATCTAAACTCAACATAAAATTTGTCATAACTATATCTAAAACAATTAATGACTTAATAAAAAACAAAACAATCGGTCAAAATTTGAAGGAGGAATTTACTCACATAATGCAGGAATTACTAGAATGAATACATTGGAGAATCTTCAAGAAGTTTAAACAAAAGACTATGTGAACACAACAGAGACATTTAAAAAAACAACAAAACGTATTGGTTGTTCACTGTAACGAAACGGACCACAATTTTGATATAGGAAATGCTACTTTGATTAAAAGAGAAAATAATTCACCGAGACGAAAATGTTTCTTGATCACTAGTTCAGCTGTGTCCAGGCTCTTACAATATATCACCATTCTTGGTAGATTTTCTGTTGTCACAATGTGGGATAGTCAGGGACAAAGAGTGATGGGGGTGAAAAACAATGAATTTGGCTAGATTAAAAAAAATATTCCTTCAAAAAAAAAAAAAAAAAATTTTTAAAAAATTTTGAAACTACCAGCGTCTTTCGTGAGCGTGTGTAGACATGGCAATGTCAACAAATCCTAGTCTGATGAAATCCTAACGGAACAAACGAGACAGAAACTTTTTCCCAATTTGTTGATATATACAATTGCAAGATTTTTATATATATATATATATATATATATATATATATATATATATATATATATATATATATAGCCGAATTACCCGCGCCTTGCTGTGTGTCAGCCATTTTTTGTTAGACAATGATGATTGGTCTTAAATCAGTGTTAGAATTTGTAGAGAAAAAAATATGCATTTCAGTATTACTCAATCATATTGCCGATGTGACATCTGTGCTTTCTCCTTCCACATTTTGGATAGGAATCATTCCCTTGTTCAAATTTAAATTAAATCAAAAGGAAAAAATTATTGGGGGCTTGTGCAAAAACATCTTGATCTGACCCCTTTGATATGTATTTGATGCAATACTTAATTGAATGAATTGATGAGCAGATTTTTCAACATTGATACGGCAGTTGAATTGTCACAACGAAATGTATCGTAAGGCAACCCCCACTGATTGTTAATTTCTTGCTCATCTTGACTTCCATATTGCCTCATGTTGATCTTGCTGATGTTACCATCTGGATTTCTCCTTCTGTATTTTGGATAGGGGTCATACTTTTGTTCAAATTTAAATCAAAGGGTAAAAAATTTTCAGTGGTGGGGTTTTGCTCGTCGGGGGACCCTTTTGATCAAAATGATCTTACAGATATGACCTCCATCTTCTGGATTTCTCCTTCAATATTTTGGATAGGAGTAGTTCCTTTGTTCAAATTTAAATTCAATTTAAATCAAAGGGTAAAAAAATCAGTCGAGGCGGGGACTTGTGCACCCGCGGACCCTTTTGATCAAAATGAAATATACTTATCCAAGTCCCCTGGGTAATGTAGGTTCAGAATAAATATGGTTATGGGAGTATATCTCCAAAACCCTAGGAGGAATTCAATAACAAACAAACAGGGGCTACAACGTGAAAAAGGTTTTCGTTTGACGCGTTTCGTCCTTTAGGACTTCATCAGAATAAAGTCATATTTACATTGATGCAACTATACATGCACACGAAGGAGAGATGTACGCTGAAAATTTTAAATTTCATTTAATATATATAGGGTTCAGTTCGACATTCCAACCACCTGGAGAAGGCCGGAGCGTACAACGGCCGAAACGTTGATATAAATAAATATAGCAACAAAGATGAGGACAATAATAATAATAATAATAATAATAATTATAATAATTATAAGAAGAAGAAGAAGAAGAAGAAGAAGAAGAAGAAGAAGAAGAAGAAAAAATGGCACAGTGGATAAAGGCGTTGGTTAGATCCTGTGACAGGACCCAAAGAGTTTTGAGTTCAATACCTGGTTAAGGCAGTGGAGAATAAGGAGAGGTGAATTAACAGGAGATAACTGATAACCGACACCCATTAGACATGGCATGTGGAACTAGAACAATGAGCGAAATAAAGGGTTCAGTTCAACATTCCAACAACCTGAAGAAGGCCGTAGTGATAAATACGGCAATAAAGATGAGGACCGAATAATGTGAAATAGTGTATATAATACCTCATCTCAGAAATATACACAGACGCAAAAGGTATGCTTTGAAAATTCAGGTGGTTCTACTGATGAATTCAAGACAAAATTGGAGAAAGAAAGAGAGGAATGAAAGATAGCGCACATACACGAATAAAGACAAAAGGAAAAATTATCTTAGCCGACGCGTTTCATCGTCTTAAAGTCCCTCAGAGGATGGAACGCATCGGCTAAGATAAGTTTTCCTTTTGTCATCATTCATATTGTTATTTTACAGATATACTCGAACGAACGAGCGTGAATAAATCCATACAGAAAGCATACGTTTTAACGCCTCAGTCACGCGCTTATATATATAACATGTTTGGTTGAATAATATCGGCAAGTTCCTTGTATCTCTCTCTCTCTCTCTCTCTGAACATCGAAATTGTGTTGTTTTAGTGTCCTTGTTTGATCCCAACGTTCGGCACCTTTGAAAAGGTGTCTGGAAAAAAAATACCACGGGTTGACCAAAGCCTTGTGAGTGAAATTGGGTAGACGGAACTCTTGAGGGCCGTCGATAGCACAAAGCCACAAGTCATCGTGGCCGTGCTGACCTTGTTCAAATTGTTGATCCCAGAAACTGCATAGGTGCAGTATAAACCATAGGTGGGCTCTGTGGGTGTTGAGCAAACAAATGTGCCTGAGCGAGCAACAGGGATTGGCAAGCCGCCCTAGTAGACAGATATACTCGAATGCGAGTGGCCAGCTATTATATATATATATATATATATGGTATAAAATTACAATTGAAAAAATCTTAGATTGTCATTTTATACCAATCTGTCTTTGTCCATAGAATTTATATATATATATATATATATATATATATATATATATATATATATATATAAATAAATTATATTTATATATAAATATATATTTATGTTGGTCACACCACAAACTCGCTTTCACGACGCTTGACACTACATTTTAATGAAAACTCTAACATTTTAGGCATTTAAAACAACATGCCTGCCTGCACACACAATTCCGTAAAATACTTGTCGAAAACACAACTATACTTCGACATGAAAACAATAGACAAAAACTAAAAATACTTGAAGCATTATACATCAAACAGTTAAAACCCAACCTAAACAAAATCAACTATGGAATCTCTACAAATATTTTTAAATGTCTATAATTTCTATAATTGGTAACAGAAGCCATTGGTTTATACCAACGGCTTTCCTTATTTCATTCTCCAATTCACTGTCGTGTAGTCATGTGTGACGTCATGAGATGCGGTGCGATTTTCGCTTTTAGTGTCTTATATGCGCGTGTTCATCGTTGCTTAGTGATCCACTATGTAAACTAAACAATGACAGACTATCATCACTGTCGTGTCCGTATATTGTTTGATATGTTTGTAATTACATCTTTGATAATGGCTTGAGTAAGCCGAAAGCTTAGATTATATTAAAAAAAAATAATGGCTAAATATTGTGAATTTCTTTTTCGGTTAATGATAATGTTATCAAACTTATCAGAAGATACGAAAAAATTTTACATAAAATAAATAGACAACACTTATCTATATTATTTAATGAAACGTGTATATATATATATATATATATATATATATATATATATATATATATATATATATATATATATACCCACGCACACTGTAATCCGCTGTTGAAAAATTAGATTTTTTAAGAGAACTAAATTTACTTTGTTTTCCTTAATTTCACTCTTCTATCAAGTCTAAAACTTGTTTCCTAAGACCAGAGAGCTTATCAATGATCTATTGTTATTTTGAATAGAAAGAAATTTAGATTCACACCAGTTTCATTACCTTATTTGGTCTAAAACTTGTTTTATTGGACTAGAGACTTTATCAAATTAACGATCGTGATTTTGAAGAGAACTAAATTTACTTTATTTCGACATCAGTTTCAACATCCTATCTGGTCTAAAACTGGAGACCCGCCTTATCCATCAATCGCCGTCAAAATACCCATGATGAGGATAATGATTGAAAGATTCTTGAATAATGTCACCGATGATAACGATAGACGGCAGGTTAAAAGGTGAGAAGCAAAAAGAAGGAAATGTTAACGGAAAAGTAAAAGCGTCCATAGTAGACGAAGCAGAAAACCTATTGGCTTATCATGGCATTGAAATTAATGAAGCCATGTATATTCAAGTCAGTTTTCCCGAATGGCCCACCAGAAGTGGTAATCTCGTATGACACGAGAAAGAAGATCATAAAATTAAGCCAGGAATGTGATTGGATGAAGTAAAAGTGTCTGTCAGGCATAGCTGAGGGAAGGGGGGGATTGAACAGAGAGAGCGTGAAAGGGAATAATATAGAGTGAAGAGTGAGAGGAAAGTGTAGGGAAGAGGAGGAGGATAACTAAGAGAAAAAAAAGAGAGACACAGAGAGAGAGAGAAAAAAAAGAGAAAAAAAAAGAGAAAAAAAAAGAGAAAAAAGAAAGAGGAAAAAAGAAAGAAAAAAGAAAGAGGAAAAAAGAAAGAAAAAAGAAAGAAAAAAGAAAGAGAAAAGAAAAAAGAGAAAAAAAGAAAGAGAAAAAAAGAAAGAGAAAAAAAGAAAGAAAAAAAAAGAAAGAGAAAAAAAGAAAGAGAAAAAAGAAAGAGAAAAAAGAAAGAGAAAAAAGAAAGAGAAAAAAAGAGAAAAAAAGAAAGAGAAAAAAGAAAAAAAAAAGAAAAAAAAAAGAGAAAAAGAAAGAGAAAGAGAAAAAAGAAAAAAGAAAAAAGAGAAAAAAAAAGAGAAAGAAAGAGAAAAGAGAAAAGAAGAAAAGAAAAAGAAAAAAAAAGAAAAGAAAGAGAAAAAAAAAAGAAAAAAGAAAGAGAAAAAGAAAGAGAAAAAAAGAAAAAAAGAAAGAGAAAAAAGAAAGAAAAAAAAGAGAAAAAAGAGAAAAAGAAAAGAAAAAGAAAGAGAAAAAGAAAGAGAAAAAGAAAGAGAAAAAAGAAAGAGAAAAAAGAAAGAGAAAAAAGAGAAAAAAGAAAGAGAAAAAAGAAGAAAAAAGAAGAAAAAAGAGAAAAAAGAAAGAAAAAAGAGAAAAAAGAAAGAAAAAGAGAAAAAAGAAAGAAAAAAAGAGAAAAAAGAAAGAGAAAAAAAGAGAAAAAAAGAAAAAGAGGCAAATAAAAGAGAAAAATAAAAGAGAAAAAAAGAAAGGAAAGAGAAAAAAAGAAAGGAAAGAGAAAAAAGGGAAACAAAGAGACAAAGACGCAAGTAGTAGACGTTAAAGACGAGATAGATATGGGAGCAAACAGAGAAAAGAAAGAGAGACTTGTTAAAAGAGTGAAATAAAGAGGGACTGGATTACTTTGGATAAAAGAAAGAGAACAACGAAAAAACAGAATGTCGGAAACAGGAGAAAGGGGAAGGGGTGGATATACACAGGGGAGATAATACGAATAGATATGGGTAAGAGAAAGGAGAAAACCAATGAGAAGAAAAAACGGAATTAGAAACTAGACAGGAAACAGAAGTAGTAAATGCTGAGAGAAAGAGAGACAGATTATATATATATATATATATATATATATATATATATATATATATATATATAGAGAGAGAGAGAGAGAGAGAGAGAGAGAGAGAGAGATAAAACTTGAGAAAATGTGTAAAAGAGGAGGAAAAGAAATCGGAATCAGATAGAAGAGAAGATTAAAGAGAGAAGACATAGAGGGGAAGAAAGGGAAAGACAGAGATAGAAATATACATATATATATATATTTAGAGAGAGAGTGAGAAAGAAATATATAGAGAGAAGGAGAAAGGGGAGAGAAGAAGAGAGAAGGGGAGAGAAGAAGAGAGAAGGGGAAAAAGAGATAAAAGTATGAGATTGAAAGAGAGTTTCTCTTTCGAATTAGAGAGAGAGAGAGAGAGAGAGAGAGAGAGGGAGGAAAAATAAAGTTTATTGAGAACAAACGTTTATTAACCATATCCTGCCCACTTGACCAGATCAGCTGTTGGTGACTCATCAAATGATTTTATTTGTCATTATGTCTCGTCTTAGCCACAGCAAAACTATTTTTTTTTCTACAGCGGGCACGATTTTTTCGTGATGATTATGCATCTGAGCCGAACGAGGCAGGCTTAAGTTTGTTATTACGAATATGTTGCTTTTGTTTGTTTCTGAAATTCATTATTTTTCGTCAAGTCCTTTAGATTTGAAGAGAAGCCATTAAAATGGCCTCTATTTATGGGAACTTCTTCAAGATTAAAAGACTTTAGATTGGTGGGAGGGAAGGAATAAGAAGATGTGCCAGAAGTGAATGGGACCGAGGACATTTTCAAAATCCAAAGAATTTGTGTAAACCCATGAACTATATAAACATGTAAACATAGGAATCAACACTGTATGGTGATTGACAGTGTCACGCCTTGAGTTACATTCACGTACATGCATACATTTTTGGGAAAGGCACGAGTTAAATAGGATCTGGAAAAATCATTGTTATTCTAAAAAAAAACAAAAAAACAAAAAAAAAATTATTAATGTAATGTAATATCTACTTACAAATAAATACCCCCAAAATAAACCAAGAAAACCCTTCTTCACCTCTCCCTCCAAAATAAACAATAAAAAATACAAAAACAAAAGAAACACAATTTTTACGACCCAAAATGTATTTCGGCTTTAAATAATTCACAATCGCTTGATAAGCCTTAACAAAAAAAAAAAAAAAAAAAAAAAAATCACGTCCTAAGAAAACCGCATGATCGAAACTGGCAGCCGCCACGCCACGTTGATTTCCATGTCCACTCTTTATATCTACAAACACTATATCCAATAATAAACACCGCCGCCCCAAAACAGTAAATTTGAAACGATCTATGACGTGCAAGGTTCATGGCTAGAGTAAAGGAAAAAAATCAGAGAGAGAGAGAGAGAATTGTTTAAAGGATTGAGAGAGAGAGAGAGAGAGAGAGAGGTTGTTTAAAGGATTTAGAGAGTGTTATGGTGAAACACACCTATTATATAGTTAATAGACTCTCCCAACTAATATAAGTAGAAGTAGTAATAGAAACGGGGCGGGGCAGTCAGACGATGTCGGACGACAGTTAGTTGAATACGAAAGTATCAGCGACCACGACCAGATTACTCTGCGTTATACCTATTATATCAAGTTCCTAACGTTTTGTACGTCGAACCTATTTTAGGACCGACTTAGTACAAATACAAGCCTCCACTGCGAAATACCTCCACAACAATATTTGGCGACGAGGGATTCGAATTCATACGGTGGAAGAAAAAAATTCGCTCGCCACAATAATTTCGGCGACAATTCGTAGGACCCCCGCCTCCTCTACAGTATTTAGGCATTGTGTAAACTTTTTGCGAAGATCGAGGAATGCAAAAATATATTCTGGGAATTCTTTAAGTTCCAGTCGGAACAACAGATGACAATATTAGAGCAACAAAAAACATTCCAGATGCAGCTACAGGAGGAAACTTTCAATAGACAAATGCAATTCCAACAAGAATTCTGGAAATAACTGAGAAGAGGAAAGAGAAAAATCTACAAAATGATTCTTTCCCAGAGAATACAATATGGAATTCAATTGAAATATTCACGTACAGTCCAGATGAAGAGATAACTTTTGAGGAGTATTATAAAAAAATATACGGACGTACATAACGAGGACTGCCACTCGTGGTCTGAAGGAAAGAAGGTTAGGCTTCTTTTAAGCAAATTAGGAACTGCTGAGCATAACAGATTGGTAAACTACATTTTACCGAAAAAAATAAAACAAACTAGCGAGTTGACATTTAACGAGGCGGTAAATATATTAAGTGAATTATTTAGTAAAAAGACATCTGTTTCTCAAGGGGTGGAAATGTTTGAATCTGATGAAAGAGGACGAACAAGACTATATAACGTACGCAGCCACTGTGAATAAGATTTTGAAGAATTCAAGCTGGCAGAGTTAAGCGCAGACAATTTTAAATGCTTAGTGTTTGCGTCTCTTTCCGATACCAACCCTTGAACAGAGTTGAGAAAATTAGTACTGGCAAAATTGGAAAGTGATCCAAGTCTTACGATACAGAAGTTGGCAGAAGACTGCACAAGATATGTTAACGTAAAGAAAGATTAAAAAAAGATAGAATAGTCTGGCGTTTCGCATGTAAGGAAAATACGCTACAAAAAAGAAAGTTAGTCTACCAAAAATAATTCTAAAATTGCGGATTATCAACCAAAAAGAGAAATACCAGAGAAAAATAAACAAAAACTCCCGAAGCCATGTTTTCCTTGCAGTGAACTACACTGGTACAGATATTGCAATTTTAGGAATAAAAAATGTTTCAACTGTAAAAGAGTGGGTCATAAAAGCTCGCACTGCAGATCAAAAAATAAAGACAATAAAATAAGAAAATTAAAGTCCAACGAGGTAAAAGATGGAATAAACAGAAAATTTGTTACCGTCGAAATAAGTAATAAAAAAATAAAAATGCACCTCGACACTGGTTCCGACCTATCTATCATAAATTTGCATACGTGGAAGAAGTTGGGGAAACCAACTTTAATGAAGACAAAGAAAATCGCGAGGTCAGTGACGGGAGAAAAAATACAATTTATTGGAGAATTTGTTACAAACGTCACGTTACATAAAAAAACGCGAAAAGCTAAACTATTTGTCATAGAAAATACCATGAACTTACTTGGTACGAATTGGATAACAGAATTCCAATTATGTGATGTACCGATAAATTCCTTCTGTTACAAGGTAGAAAGTTTAAACACCGAAGCCCAAAAATTAGTAAAGAAACTTAAGGAAACATTTCTTACTGTTTTTTCTCTAGGGATGGGAACATGTACCAAGATGGAGGCAAAATTCCAGCTAAAAGAAAACGCTCAGGCGGTATTCAAAAAGAAAACGAATGTGCCGTTTGCCTCAATTGAACAGATCGATAAAGACTTGTACAGATTAGAGAAAACCGGGGAGCAAGTTACCCGCAGCCATAGACATGCAGTATTATTAAATGATTTAAGTCAACTGAAGTCACCACAGAAAACGTTAAGTACAAGATCAACAAAAGGGAAGCTAGAGGCTGAACAAATAGAACCACACGAAGAACCTACAGAAACTTTGACACCATCGTTAAGAAGCTCAAAGCGGAAGGTTGTTTCTGGTAACACTATGGAGGTGCCAAAAAATAGAAAAGTGGATTGGCAATATGATATACTTGGTGAAAGGCGAAAAATTCACGTGCAGAAAGCACATTAACCAGATCAGACGTGGTTGACAGCGGTCCCGCGGAAGAAACGCCGATGGAGGTGATTTTCGATACGTTTGATTTAACAACGCCTGCAACGATTTTACCTGAGGTACACCGATCCAGGAGAAAAAGAAAGGCAACTGATCATTTAAAAGTGGATCCAAAACGTAGGAGATACGCTAAAATGTTGCTAAAAAATGAAGTCTTTTTTTTTCTTCATATTTCCTGTAAAAAATAAAGAAAACTGTTTTACTCCTACGGAGTAAAGTTTTAGGAGGGGGGTGTTATGGTGAAAAACACCTATTATATAGTTAATAGACTCTCCCAACTAATATAAGTAGGAGTAGTAATAGAAACGGGGGGCAGTCAGTCAGTCGACTGGCTGATCGGTTGAACTCTTTCCTTCGGGCGGGGAGGAACCCGTAGGAGGCTACGCCGAAGGGCGGATTCTCTTTCGGGGAGGTAAACCGATCCTGAACCCGTTTATACGGGTTCAATGGGCTTATTTTTGGCCGAGCTCACGGGCTCGGGGATCCCACGTTAAAAAGGCCTTGTGCCACATGACGCCCTCGTGGTGGTGGGTGACTGAATATCGTCAGTCAGTCGATGTCGGACGACAGTTAGTCGAATACGAAAGTAGTCAGCGACCACAAGATTACTCTGCGTTATACCTATTATATCAAGTTCTTAACGTTTTGTACGTCGAACCTATTTTAGGACCGACTTAGTACAAATACAAGCCTCCACTGCGAAATAACTCCACAACAGAGAGAGAGAGAGAGAGAGAAGTTGTTTAAAGGATTTAGAGAGAGAGAGAGAGAGAGAGAGAGTGAATTTGTTTAAAGAGAGAGAGAGAGGGATACAGAGGTTGTTCAAGGTTTAAAGAATTTGGAAAGTGGGAGAAATTGTTTCAAACATTAATGATCTGTATGGCGATCAATTTATAAATCTGCTTAGGCAATTGGACCGGTGATTACAAAAAAAATCTTTCAATCTTTCCTTCTTTCTTTCCATGTATTAAAGCATGACTATATCACGGATATAGTAATACCTAGAATAAGTAAATGGAAACTGGTAATAATATGTCTTGCATAGCACCCGTTTTAACCTTCATGGTTAAGATCCTCCATGCCATTCACACTGTAGAGAACCAACTTCATTCCCTTCATATTCCATTGAGGAGATGAGAGTTCCACTCGAGCAGCGTCTCACGTACCGCTGCTTTGTGGAACCACCTCTCAAGAGAATATCCCCCCCCACCGCGATCACTACAATCTTACAAGTCTAGGGTCAACCGTTATCTTCCCTATATATCCCCCCCCATAAACTGTGCCTCTTACGCTGTAAACCTTTACCTCAAGTGGTTGTTGGGTTGTAAACATCATTGTAAAGAGACATTAGGGGGCAACCAGAAGAGAGAACTAGCTCTCTGATCAGTTGTAATGGTCAAGTAGACGACTTGAGTGATTCGTTTTTTTTTTACAGCTTATCACCCCATTGTTGGTTATTTAAAGCCAGAAAATATTTTTAGTTTGTAAGAATATTTTTGGGATGTGATAATGATTAAGGGATACGTCTTACTAATTAAACCATAACTGGGGGGGGAATTGGTGAATTCATACCTTTCGCAAGGGTAATTGCACGTAAGTGAATATAAAGAACCCAACTGGAATTGGAACTCAGCTCTACGATTAATCATTCTGAGTCGTTATCAATCAC